AGAGTACCCACACCCAGGAGTACCTCACACCCAGGAGTACCTCAGAGTACCTCACAGAGTACTCACACCCAGAGTACCTCAGACCTACCCTACACCCAGGAGTACCCCACACTCAGGAGTACCTCACACCCAGGAGTACCTCACAGAGTACCTCACACCCAGGAGTACCTCACACCCAGGAGTACCTCACAGAGTACCTCACACCCAGGAGTACCTCAGAGTACCTCACAGAGTACCTCACACCCAGGAGTACTCCACACCTGGGAGTAGCTCACACCACACTGAAGAGTACCGTAGAGTAAGTCTTTTCAGACTTGTTTCTCACCACAGGTAGACTCCATATGGTTCTCACACACTGATTTATTAGAATTTTTCGAACGGAATTTACAAACAGGAAGTTGTTGTGGAGGAAACAGAAAAGTAAGTCTTTATTTATTTATATAGCGCTTTCACAGACATTTTTTGTCCCCAAAGACGCTTTACAGAGCATTATTCAGCATTATTCAGCATTATTCAGCATTATTCAGCATTATTCATATTCATTCACTCTATACCCTGGTGATGGTAAACCACTGTTGTAGCCACAGCTGCCCTGGGACAGACTGACATGCCACTCGGCGCCATCGGTCCCTCTGACCACCACCATCACTCACACACACCACTTTCATACTAGGCAATGTGGGTGAAGTGTCTTGCCTAAGGACACAATGATTGAATTGATTGTATTTAATTGACCTTGACTATCAACCGTTCATGGACCTGTAGCATGTTTTGGGTTGATGGGGGAAACCGGAGCCCGGAGGAAACTCATCCAGACACGGGGCAAACTCCACACAGACCCAGGGATTGAACCCAGAACCTTCTTGTTGTGAGGTATGAGTGCTAGCCACTCTGCCACCGTGCCGAGACAAAATTAAAAAATAAAATTAAAAATACAAATAAAGTAAAATAAACAAAATACAAAAATAAATGCAGAGCCACAGACGGCCACACGAGGGCGCTCATGTACTGTGTACTTCAGTACAGTAAATATGTGTGTATGCAGTATAAGTACTTTTTACTTTTACTGTGTAAGTGGTCATACCGGCCTGTCAAAGTCTGATCCTGTCAAAGTCTGATCCTGTCAGATCTCAGAAGCTCAGCAGGTCTGGTCTGGGTCCGGGTCTGGACTTGGATGGAGACTCTGGGATGATCAAGAGCCAGAGGAGTGGGGGGTAGTCAGAGGGGCCGATGACGCAGATTGGCAGCTTCTCTTCCGTGAGTCTGCCCCAGGGCAGCTGTGGCTACAATAGTAGTTTACACCAGAGTGTTGAGTGAATGAATAATAAAAAACTGTAAAGTGCTTGGGGAATCTTGAAAAGTGCTGTATAAATGCAATGATAAATTAATTATATCACATTAAATTATATTTTCTGTATATTTACATATGACGTTTTCTAAAGCGCGGCTCAGACTCTGACCTTTGACCTCTGACCTTTGACCCTATGCTGAGCCTGGATCATGGATCTATAATAAAAACATTATTTTACAGTTCTATGGAACTGAGCTCCAGCACCACAGAACCAGAACCACAGAACCAGAACCACAGAACCAGAACATGTTCGGTGTTGTAAGAGTTTGTCAATAAACACGTCAGAAAACATGTTAGAATTCACATGTTCGTCAGTCTGTGTCCGGAGCGCGCACGAGCTCATCACCGGACCGGACCACGGACCGGGTCCAGGTCCAGGTCCAGGTCCAGGTCCAACTCCAAGTCCAGGTCCAAGTCCAACTCCAAGTCCAGGTCCAGGTCGGATCCAGATCTCGCGCTGAGCCTGAGCTCTCGCGGGACTTGCCTGTGTGTGTCTGAAGTCTCGCGGTGTTTGGGCGCGTGCTGCAGCTCAGAGGCGGAGTCGGAAGCTCGTGCGGTCTGCAGCGGTCCGCTTTGGTCCTGGTTTAGTCCCGGTTTAGTCCTGGTCCAGTCCCGGTCCAGAGCCCGTTTAGACCCGGGTGAGACCGGCCCGGTTCGGCTCAGTCCGGTCTCCAGCGGCGGGACCGAGGGGGAAGTCCGTGCTCGCGCCGCGCTCGTGTCCGCTGTCGGCGCGCGCTCGCGGCTCGGCGGGAAACAACAGGCCTCAGTCACGCGCACGGGGCTGGGTCACGCGCACCATGGACGGCTCTTTAGGTGAGTCTTGCACGCGCACACACGGAGCACGCACGGACGCACGCGCACGGACCGCTGCGGGTTTCCACGTGTCACCCCCACGCCCCGCCCCCCGCGAGCCCGCGGCCCGCGCGCGTGCGTGAGGTAGAACAAAGCCACCGGAAGTGGTCCAGACTACTTCCGGCCGGTCTGGTCCTGGTTCAGACCTGATTCAGACCTGGTTTAGACCTGGTTTCAGACCTGGTTCAGACCTGGTCCAGACCTGGTCCAGACCTGGTCCAGTCCTGGTTTAGTCCTGGTTTAGTCCTGGTTTAGACCTGGTTTAGACCTGGTGCAGACCTGGTCCAGACCTGGTCCAGACCTGGTTTAGTCCTGGTTCAGACCTGATTCAGACCTGGTTTAGTCCTGGTTTAGTCCTGGTTTAGACCTGGTTTAGACCTGGTTCAGACCTGGTTCAGACCTGGTCCAGACCTGGTCCAGACCTGGTTTAGTCCTGGTTTAGTCCTGGTTTAGACCTGGTTCAGACCTGGTCCAGACCTGGTTTAGTCCTGGTTTAGTCCTGGTCCAGACCTGGTTTTGTCCTGGTTTAGATTTGGTTTAGTCCTGGTTTAGATTTGGTTCAGACCTGGTTTAATCCTGGTTTAGACCTGGTTTAGTCCTGGTTTAGTTTCAGGTCTTGTCTGTGGTTTCGTTCTGAGTTTCAGTCAGAGCTCAATTTCCTGTGGTGGGATTTTTTTTTTTTTTTTGTATCAAACATCTGCTGCAGAACCAGAATGTGGAACCTCACAGCAAGAAGGTCCCTGGCCCCTGCTCCTGACAGGTGTAACCCTGCTCCTGACAGGTGTAACCCAGAGACACTGAGGACGGGTCAAATACAGAGATAAAGTTTGTTAAAGCAACAGAATCACAAACTGAACTTTAAGTCATGTTCTGCTGAGTACTGAGAATATTTCATTTGTGTGTATTTTTTAATATTCTGATTCTGTTCTAATGTTCTGTTGTTCTGTTGTTCCTGTTCACACTCAGAGCTGTTCTTGTGTTTGTTTGAGTGTTTCTTTATTCTGAGTCTTTTACATCTACAAAACTCCAAATGCTCTGTTCCACCTTGTGATGTCATCGAGTGAACAGCTCCTTTTCCCTTTAGTTCAGTCGAGATCTGTGACTCCAGGACTGAAATGATCCAGATGATTCTACTGAAGGTGTGTGGAGTTTAAAAACATAGTGGAGCACTTCCTGTATTACCACATGATGACATCACGAGGTGGAACAGAGTTTGGGTGTGAATGAAACAAAACACAAGTCCAGGAAACAGAATAGAGCAGAGGATTATGGGACATGGAGTCTCACGATAAACTACAGTAGAACTTTAGAACATTAGAACATTAGAACAGAGTCACGTTCAACCACAACCAGGACTAAACCAGGACTAAACCAGGACTAAACCAGGTCTACACCAGGTCTACACCAGGTCTAAACCAGAAAAGCACTCAGAGAGCGCAGATCTCCGCCAAGGACTACCCCCATTTTTTATATAAATTGCGATAAAATCAGTCTTCTGGATCAGATCCGGATCAGCCTTTGGAATATGAAAGAGGATCCCATTGTCCATCCCTGAGTCAAATTTCATGGGGTTTGGTCAATAATTAACCCAGATATTGAGAAACAAAATTTTTGGCCCCATTTACCACAATGTTAACTAAAATTTCAAAGTGATCCAGAATCCAGGATTTCTTCTGGATCAGCCCCAAAATGAAATTAGTTCTTCCTTTTCACATTTCCAACAAATCCTGAAAATTTCATCAAAATTGGTCCTTAACTTTTTGAGTTACGTTGCTAACAGACAAACAAACAAACAAACAAAAAACAAACGCCGGCAAAAACATAACCTCCTTGGCAGAGGTAACCAGGACTCTTCATGCGCTCTCCTGACTGTACGTGAACGCTCTTGCACGTGCGCGCTCCTGACTCTCTCTCTCTAAACAGATGAGGATGTGCACGAGGACAGCGTGCACGCTCGCGTGTGCACATTGGAGAGTGACGAGCACGTGCACGCTCGTGTGTGCGCTCTGGAGCTACGCGTGCAGACGCAGGAGGACGAGCTCACCGTGCTGAAGGCGGCGCTCGCTGATGTCATACGCCGCCTCAACCAATCAGAGGAGAGCAAGAGGCAGAGCAAAGGTACGGTCAATCAGAGCAGGGGGCGGGTTTCAGGGGGCGGGGCTGAGTGGTGAAGTCACTGTGTGTTCTCTACAGGCTCCATGCGGGAGGCCTATTCTCTGTCCTGTCTGCCAAACGGGGGGACCTCAGGCGGGCCCTCAGGGGGGCCCTCGGGGGGCGGGCGCCGGCGAGACCGAGACTCGGGATCTGTGACGCGTAAAGAGACGCTGTCGTCCGCCGCCAAGAGGTCAGAGACAGAATTACACCTCAAATATGAACAGTACTTTAACTTCATTCTTCAAAAGTTCCTCTGAAAACTCCCACGTTTAAAGTGTTGCCATGGAAACGTGTTTACATGTTTTTTTCGTGTTTATTCTGAACTTTTGTGACGAAGAAGAAGAATGTGGCCCTCACCACATGATCATCACGTGACCCGTCAGATCCTCCATATGATCTCCTCTCCACAGACCTGCTCTCCCTCTGCTCTCCCCTCCACAGACCTGCTCTCCCTCTGCTCTCCCCCCCACAGACCTGCTCTCCCTCTGCTCTCCCCTCCACAGACCTGCTCTCCCTCTGCTCTCCTCTCCACAGATGTGGTCTTAGTTTAAAGTTTAAACTGTTTTTGACTCAGTGGGCCAGAGAAGAAGAAGGAGCCTCCACAGAAGTCTCAGTCCAGATCCGACCTGGGCGAGATCCAAGAAGAGACCCAGAACCAGACCGGGTCCCAGACCGGGACCCAGACCCCGACCCTGCAGAGGTCCCAGTCCTCAGAGTCTCGCTCCACAGACCCCAGGACCGAGACTAAAGTCCAGACCGGAGCCAAAAGGTCTCCTCTCAACCGGTTCTGGTCCGGTCTAAAGCCTGGTTTTCTCTCAGACTAACCCAGACCGGGTCCAGACTCGGTCTAAACCTGGTCTGGACCGGTTTAACCCTTTGTTTGCACCTGTCATTTTCTCCTCAGAGTCCTGTGTCTGACCTCTAACCTCTGGCCCCTCCCCCTCTCTAGCCCCTCCCCCTGTGCTGGGAGCCTGGCACTGGTGCATTGTGGGAGTCGGAGTCTTTCAGCCGCACTAACCTCCTGCTTCTGTTTCAGTCTGACTCATGTTTGTGCTTCAGAGAGGCTCCGATACCGATACCTGCCGATACCGATACTGAGCCATAGCCACATTTGTCCCTGGGCAGGTGCACACACTAACAGTTCCATTATTAGAATGTTAATGAGGATCTATCAGTAAAGACTCAAATGAACCAATTAAGGCCCGACCGATATGAAACTGATGAAATGGGAGTTGGAGCTGTCGATATAATCACCGATATATTTAATGATGCAAAAATTCACTGTAAATCTTGAGTTGTGTATAAAACTTCGGTTTGGCACTAGTGGATTTTAAATTGGGTTTATTTAGGCAACATTTATTGTTCTTCTGACTCTTTACGTCACATTTACAGACAGTATGTCGGACTAATTTTTGCATCACATTCTAGAAAGTAAAGTACCACTATCAGCCTTTAGCCGTAAATGCTGCGCACCGCGGTAATCAATTATGTGTGTAAATGTCGATCATTCACACCTCTGTTCACAGCTCATTTACATCAATTCAGGTCCAGTAACAAATATATAGACAATATAATCACTTTACAACAGACCAATAGAAAACAGTCTGTTTATGTGTGAGAGACACAGCAGATCATCACTAAACAATGAGAAAAAAAACGAAACACATCACAAGTCTGAACTAATAAATGTCCTTTTAATCCAGACTCAAACCGATTGTCTGTAAAAAGAAAATAATCTCAGTGTTTGGATCTGTGTGTGAGTGTAAACAAACACACATGAGTGACGTGACACTGTGGTGTGTTCAGGGACAGTACGACACACAAATACACACAAATGACTCCACAGATAAAAACTGATGTGGAGACACATATTTGGACATTTATTTGTCTGTAAATTGTATTAAATAAACACAATGTAGAGAGTCTAAGATTTATAATGACGTTTAACATGCGCATGTGAAATATCGGCAAGATTTAGATCAATCGCCGATATGTTTCCAGGTGCCCATATCAGCCGATAATATTGGCCAACTGATATATCGGTCGGGCTCTAGAACCGATACCTGAAGCGACATTGGCCCAGGTTTGGTATCGGCGCCTCTCCGTGTGTGCATGTGTGTTGTGTGTGTGTTGTGCATGTGTGTGTGTTTGTGTGTGTGTGTGCGTGCGTGTGTGTGAAAGGAACACTTTGAGCCTCAGTTGTGTTTGTGTCCAAATGTGACAGAGTCTGAGGAACAGACGTTCTCCTGAAACTCAAAGTGAAATAATAAGGCTTCAGTCAGGTCTGTGTGTGTGTGTGTGTGTGTGTGTGTGTGTGTGTGTGTGTGTGTGTGTCTGTGTGCGTGTGTCTGTGTGTGTGTTTGTGTGTCTGTGCGTGTGTGTGTGTGTGTGTCTGTGTGTGTCTATGTGCGTGTGTGTGTGTGTGTGTGTGTGTGTGTGTGTGTCTATGTGTGCGTGTGTGTGTGTGTGTGTCTGTGCGTGTGTGTGTGTGTGTGTGTGTGTGTGTGTGTGTGTGTGTGTGTGTGTGTGTGTGTGTGTGTGCGTGTGTGTGTGTGTGTGTGTGTGTGCGTGTGTCGTGTGTGTGTGTGTGTGTGTGTGTGTGTGTGTGTTGTGTGTTGTGTGTGTGTGTGTGTGTGCGTGTGTGTGTGTGTGTATGTGTGTGTGTGTGTGTGTGTGTGTGTATGTGTGTGTGTGTGTGTAGTCAGTCAGGTGCAGGTCTTGGTCCTTTTGTCTCGTCACATTTGGACACAAATAAAACTCTGACCTCTGACCCGCTCTAACAAAAAACTGTTTTTGTGTGTGTCTCTGTCTGTGTGTTGTGTGTCTGTGTGTGTGTCTGTGTGTTGTGTGTCTCTGTTGTGTGTGTTGTGCGTCTCTGTGTGTTGTGTGTTGTGCGTCTCTGTGTTGTGTGTCTCTGTGTGTTGTGTGTGTCTGTGTGTTGTGCGTCTGTGTGTGTGTGTGTCTGTGTGTGTCTCTGTGTGTTGTGTGTCTCTGTGTGTTGTGTGTCTCTGTGTGTTGTGCGTCTGTGTGTTGTGTGTCGTTGTGTGTTGTGCGTCTGTGTTGTTGTGCGTCTGTGTATTGTGCGTCTTTGTGTGTTGTGTGTGTTGTGCGTCTCTGTGTGTGTGTTGTGTGCGTCTCTGTGTTGTGCGTCTGTGTGTTGTGTCTCTGTGTGTTGTGTGTCTCTGTGTGTTGTGTGTCTCTGTGTGTGTTGTGCGTCTGTGTGTTGTGCGTCTGTGTGTTGTGTGTGTTGTGCGTCTCTGTGTGTTGTGTTGTGTGTGTGTCTGTGTGTTGTGTGTCTCTGTGTGTTGTGTTGTGTGTCTCTGTGTGTGTTGTGCGTCTGTGTATTGTGCGTCTTTGTGTGTTGTGTGTTGTGCGTCTGTGTGTTGTGCGTCTGTGTGTTGTGTGTGTGTTGTGCGTCTCTGTGTGTGTGTGTGTGTTGTGTGTTGTGCGTCTGTGTGTTGTGTGTTGTGCGTTGTGCGTCTCCTGTAGGGGGGGCAGTTCCAGACGTTCTCTTGATCGTGATGACGACCGTCTCCACAGAGCCGCCTCTACCTCCAAAGTGATGGCGCGCGTCGCTAAACAGGCGCACAGGTGAGACTGCCCCCACCTGACCCCTCCCCCTCACCTGACTCCTCCCCTCACCTGACCCCCCCTTCACCTGACTCCTCCCCCTCACCTGACTCCTCCCCCTCACCTGACCCCCCCCCTTCACCTGACTCCTCCCCCCCTCACCTGACTCCTCCTCCTCACCTGACTGCTCCCCCCTCACCTGACTCCTCCCCCCTCCTCCTCCTTGTGACCTTTGACCTGGTGTGTTTTGTGTTTCAGGAGTAAGGATCCTGTGGTGAGTCCAGGTGAGTCCAGAACCTCAGATCCTCCACAGCCTCAAGTGACACAAGAAAAGAGTTTGTGTCTAGTCCTGGTCTAGTCCAGGTCTAGTCCTGATCTCGTCCTGGTCTCGTCCTGGTCTCAGGTTCTTTGTCTCTCCTAGTTGGACTCTTAGTTGGTCTTGTGTGTCAGACTCCAGTTTGTTCTTTTCACCTCAAACTAAACCTGGTCCCTGTGACGTTTGTCTCCTGCTCACGGCGAGTTTGACCAGAGTCGGGGACACCCAGTGCACACAGGTCGACCCAGTGGACCTGACAGTAACAGATGCTGGTCTCAGATGAAGCAACCAAAACCAACTCAACTAAGAGCAACAACAGCTGTTGCTGTGAAAGAACCTGAGACCTGGTTTAGACCTGGTTTAGTCCTGGTTTAGTCCTCTCTTTGCGGACTTTGCTGACCTGGTTTTTGCGGTCCACAGATGTTGGTGTTAGGGGAGATGTGGTGAGTCTGTAGTTCGATTCCCGTAGAGTCCATTTAAAATCATTTACCCGTCTGCCCCGACGCAAAACACTTCTGTAGACCCGAGTCTGTCCATCACATCCCACCGTCTGTAGAGCCGCGCCTCACAGGGTCTGTCCAGGACCTGGTCTAGACCTGGTCCAGCCCTGGTTCAGACCTGGTCTATACCTGGTTCAGACTGGACCTGGTTCAGACCTGGTCTAGACCTGGTTCAGACACTTTGAGGCTCGTTCATGTTTTAGTTTCAGTTTCATTTGTCTTGTTTTTATTTGTTTTTATTTTGTGGTTTTCATGTCGTTCAGCAAAAATGTCCACGCGAGAAAAGACCAAAGAGACGCAGGCAGGTGAGTCCCACAGCAGGTCCAACATCTGGTCTAACTCTGGTCTAACTCTGGTCTAACTCTGGTCTAACTCTGGTCTAACTCTGGTCTAACTCTGGTCTAACTCTGGTCTGTTTCTGGTCACGATCTTGAAGTGAAGTGTTTCCGAACTTCAGTTTAACTTCTGTTTTATTCATTTATTATAAAGAGTGTGTTGTGTGTAATAGTTGTGTGTGTTGTGCGTTGCAGAGGGGAACAGTATAAAGATGTTTATGTGTGTGTGTGTTGTGTGTAATAGTTGTGTGTGTTGTGCGTTGCAGAGGGGAACAGTATAAAGATGTTTATGTGTGTGTGTGTTGTGTGTAATAGTTGTGTGTTTGTGTGTGTTGTGCATTGCAGAGGGGAACAGTATAAAGATGTTCATGCGCGGTCGTCCCATCACCATGTTCGTCCCGGCAGACGTGGAAAATTACCATGAAATGAAAACAGAACTTCCCCCAGAGCGTCTCAAACTGGAGTGGGTGTATCCTTTACACACGTACACACAACTGTACACACAAATATATACACTAATACATATATATAATTTATACATATATATAAGTTCTGTACTCGTGTCAGTACTTGTACTGGTGTCAGTACTTGTACTGGTGTCAGTACTTGTACTTGTGTCAGTAGTTGTACTTGTACTTGTGTCAGTACTTGTACTTGTACTTGTGTCAGTACTTGTACTTGTACTTGTGTCAGTACTTGTACTTGTACTTGTGTCAGTACTTTTACTGGTTTCAGTACTTGTACTCGTGTCAGTACTTGTACTTGTGTCAGTACTTGTACTTGTGTCAGTGGTTGTACTTGTACTTGTGTCAGTACTTGTACTTGTGTCAGTACTTGTACTTGTGTCAGTAGTTGTACTTGTACTTGTGTCAGTAGTTGTACTTGTACTTGTGTCAGTAGTAGTTCCTTAGCGGGCGCAGGTACGGGTATCGTGGGCGGGATTGTCGTGGGAACGTGTTCCTGCTGCCGACAGGAGAGACCGTGTACTTCATCGCCTCCGTCGTGATTTTATTCAACAACGAAGAACGAACCCAACGCCACTACCTCGGCCACACGGACTGTGTGCGCTGGCCACTACTACTGTGTGCGCTACTACTACTACTATACTGCAAATACTACTACTACTCGGCACACGGACTGTGTGCGCTGGTACTACAAATACTACTACTACTACTACTACTACTGCAAATACTACTACCTCTACCTCGGCCACACGGACTGTGTGCGCTGGTACTACAATACTACTACTACTACTACTACTACTACTACTGCAAATACTACTACCTCTACCTCGGCCACACGGACTGTGTGCGCTGGTACTACAAATACTACTACTACTACTACTAGTGCTGTCATGCGATTAAAAAAATTGAGAGATTAATTAATTATGATCTGTAATTAATTAATCTAATTAATCTCATTTTAATCTCACCTAAAAATTGCTGAGAAAAGCTTCAATTTGAGGTATTTTCATTTAAATTCATTATTACATTATTGTGGCAGATCAAAAGACTAATATAGATTTTAAAAAGTGACTTTATAAAGTCATTTATTGTTTAACAAATCTCTCCAAATTGTCTGTTGAGCCCAAGTCTCCATGAATTAGAAACTGTTTGCTGTAAAGTAGCAAAGACGAGGAAATCTGAACATAATAACTTTTGTCGACTTAAAGACAATAAAAAGTCCAGTCTTTCCTTAACCATATTAAAAATATTATTGATAGAGAAATGCTTTATATATGAGATCACTGGTTTTAGTCCTAGTTTAGTCCTGGTGTTAGTTCTGGTTTAGACCTGGTTTAGACCTGGTTTAGTCCTGGACTGGATTAGTCCTGGTTTTAGTCTTGGTGTTAGTTCTGGTTTAGAGGCGCACAGGAGGAAGCGCGGGTTTACGCAGCGTACGCGAGAAAACACGATCCACACGCGGCTCACGGCAGCACATCGGTGTCCGCGCAGTAACTACGGAAGGAAACGTGGTCCACGCGTTCTCAGGTTAATGACGATGATGAAGGTGTGTGTGTGTGTGTTTGTGTTTGTGTGTGTTTGTGTGCGTGTCCCCTCATGTGGCAGGTCACTATTGGACAGTAGTGCAGACATCATGAGCCTATGCAGGTTGTTTTCACCAGTGATATTTAAGTTGTAGGCGATATTATATTTGTTATTTTCTTTTATATTTCATGTCGGGAGAATAATTTCCAAGACACGAATGTGTTTTTACCTGTGCCCTGCTGACTCTGTTCTACTGGCTCTTCCACCTCGTCCATTGTGCGACTGACGCCGCCAGCGTTAACATGACATTTACATCGCTGTTACTGCGCGCGTTTTGTGTGGGTTTCCGGCAATGAGTGGAATTACCGAAATAAAAAAATGTATAAATGTGTTTTTTGTGTGTGTGTGTGTGTGTTGTTGTCCCAGCAACAGGTTTTATAATAAAGCAACTCGCATACAGAAACACTAAAGTTAGAGATTAAAAATGAGATTAACGTGATTAAAAAACGTAACGCGCTAAATATGACTGTAATTAATTAATCGCAATTAACGCGATAATTTGACACCCCTAACTACTACTACTGCAAATACTACTACCTCTACCTCGGCCACACGGACTGTGTGCGCTGGTACTACAAATACTACTACTACTACTACTGCAAATACTACTACTGCTACTACTACTGCAAATACTACTACTACTACTACTACCTCGGCCACACGGACTGTGTGCGCTGGTACTACAAATACTACTACTACTACTACTGCAAATACTACTACTATTACTACAAATACTACTAGTACTTTGTCTCCTGTGTCTCTGTGTAAACTCTTCGTCTCTTTCAGTCTGGCTCTTCATCCTGATAAAATTCGCATCGCCACAGGACAACTCGCCGGAGTCGACAAAGACGGACGGGTCAGAACGCACAAACACAAAAACACACACACATAAACACACATAGACAAACACAACACACACAAACACAACACACACACACGCAACACACACACAGACAAACAACACACACAAACACACACTCAGCTCATTTACTCATCTGACAATCACTTTATTTTATTACATGTTCTAATGGACTTCTCCTGTGTGTGTTGTGTTGTGTTGTGTTGTGTGTGTTGTATGTCCGTGCGTTTGTGTGGTTGTGTGTGTGTTGTGTGTGTGTGTGTGTGTGTGTGTGTTGTGTGTGTTGTGTGTGTGTGTGTGTGTTGTGTGTTGTGTGTGTGTGTGTGTGTGTGTGTGTGTGTGTGTGTGTGTGTGTGTTGTGTGTGTGTGTGTGTGTGTGTGTGTGTGTGTGTGTGTGTGTGTGTGTGTGTGTGTGTGTGTGTGTGTGTTGTGTGTGTGTTGTGTTGTGTGTGTGTGTGTGTGTGTGTGTGTGTGTTGTGTGTTGTGTGTGTGTGTGTGTGTGTGTGTGTGTGTGTGTGTGTGTGTGTGTGTGTGTGTGTGTGTGTGTGTGTGTGTGTGTGTGTGTGTGTGTGTGTGTGTGTGTGTGTGTGTGTGTGTGTGTGTGTGTGTGTGTGTGTGTGTGTTGTGTGTGTGTGTGTGTGTGTGTGTGTGTGTGTGTGTGTGTGTGTGTGTGTGTGTGTGTGTGTGTGTGTGTGTGTGTGTGTGTGTGTGTGTGTGTGTGTGTTGTGTGTGTGTGTGTGTGTGTGTGTGTGTGTGTGTGTGTGTGTGTGTGTGTGTGTGTGTGTGTGTGTGTGTGTGTGTGTGTGTGTGTGTGTTGTGTGTGTGTGTGTGTGTGTGTGTGTGTGTGTGTGTGTGTGTGTGTGTGTGTGTGTGTGTGTGTGTGTGTGTGTGTTGTGTGTGTGTGTGTGTGTGTGTGTGTGTGTGTTGTGTGTGTGTGTGTGTGTGTGTGTGTGTGTGTGTGTGTGTGTGTGTGTGTGTGTGTGTGTGTGTGTGTGTGTGTGTGTGTGTGTGTGTGTTGTGTGTGTGTGTGTGTGTGTGTGTGTGTGTGTGTGTGTGTGTGTGTGTGTGTGTGTGTGTGTTGTGTGTGTGTTGTGTGTGTGTGTGTGTTGTGTGTGTGTGTGTGTGTGTGTGTGTGTGTGTGTGTGTGTGTGTGTGTGTGTGTGTGTGTGTGTGTGTGTGTGTGTGTGTGTGTGTGTGTGTGTGTGTGTGTGTGTGTGTGTGTGTGTGTGTGTGTGTGTGTGTGTGTGTGTTGTGTGTGTGTGTGTGTGTGTGTGTGTGTTGTGTGTGTGTGTGTGTGTGTGTGTGTGTGTGTGTGTGTGTGTGTGTGTGTGTGTGTGTGTGTGTGTGTGTGTGTGTGTGTGTGTGTGTGTGTGTGTGTGTGTGTGTGTGTGTGTGTGTGTGTGTGTGTGTGTGTGTGTGTGTGTGTGTGTGTGTGTGTGTGTGTGTGTTGTGTGTGTGTGTGTGTGTGTGTGTGTGTGTGTGTGTGTGTGTGTGTGTGTGTGTTGTGTGTGTGTGTTGTGTGTGTGTTGTGTGTGTGTGTGTGTGTGTGTGTGTGTGTGTGTGTGTGTGTGTGTTGTGTGTGTTGTGTGTGTGTGTGTGTGTGTGTGTGTGTGTGTTGTGTGTGTGTTGTTGTGTGTGTGTGTGTGTGTGTGTGTGTGTGTGTGTGTGTGTGTGTGTGTGTGTGTGTTGTGTGTGTGTGTGTGTGTGTGTGTTGTGTGTGTGTGTGTGTGTGTGTGTGTGTGTGTGTGTGTGTGTGTGTGTGTGTGTGTGTGTGTGTGTGTGTGTGTGTGTGTGTGTGTGTGTGTGTGTGTGTGTGTGTGTGTGTGTGTGTGTGTTGTGTGTGTGTGTGTGTGTGTGTGTGTGTGTGTGTGTGTGTGTGTGTGTGTGTGTGTGTGTGTGTGTGTGTGTTGTGTGTGTGTGTGTGTGTGTGTGTGTGTGTGTGTGTGTGTGTGTGTGTGTGTGTGTGTGTGTGTGTGTGTGTGTGTGTGTGTTGTGTGTGTGTTTGTGCGTTTTCAGGCGGTGTGTCCTCACGTGCGCGTCTGGGACAGTGTGAGTTTGTTCACGCTGCAGGTCGTGGGTTTGGGGACGTTCGAGCGCGGCGTCGGCTCCCTCGCCTTCTCCAAAGCCGTGAGTCGCACCTGTCGCACCTGTCGCACCTGTCATTGTTGTATACCAGAGCGTGTGTGTATTATACATTAGTAGCAATAAAAATCTTTCTGTTGTTGGGCTTTTTTTTTTGTTTTTATAAAATCCTCTAAAGTTATAATGAAATTCACAGATTAATCGAATGAGTCGTTAGATTAATCGTTAAGAAGAACCGTGACGTTTGTTTGTGGAAACTTTTCTGTTTCTGTTTCAATTAAACTTTTCTGTTCTGTGTCCAGCCTCTGACCTCATGTCCTCTCCTCCTCTTCCTCTCCTCCTCCTCTTCTCCTCATCCTCTCCTCCTCTCCTCCTCCTCCTCTCCTCCTCCTCCTCTCCTCTCTCCTCCTCATCCTCTCCTCCTCTTCTCCTCCTCATCCTCTCCTCTTCTCTCCTCCTCCTCCTCTCTTCTCCTCTCTCCTCTCCTCTCTTCTCTCTCCTCTTCTCTCTCTTCTCCTCCTCCTCTTCCTCTCCTCTTCTTCTCCTCTTCCTCTCCTCCTCCTCTTCTTCTCCTCATCCTCTCTCCTCCCTCTTTCCTCCTCTCTTCTTCTCCTCATCTCCTTCTCTCCTCCTCTTCCTCCTCTCTCTCCTCTCCTCCTCCTCTCCTCCTCTCCTCTCTTCTTCTCCTCTCTTCTCCTCCTCCTCTCCTCTCCTCTCCTCTTCTTCTCCTCCTTCCTCCTCTCCTCTCTTCTCCTCTCCTCTCCTCCTCTCTCTTCTCTCCTCCTCTCTTCCTCCTCCTCCTCTCTCTCTTTCCTCTCCTCTTCCTCCTCCTCCTCTCCTCTCTCCTCCTCTCTCTTCCTCTTCCTTCTCCTCTCCTCTTCTCCTCTTCTCTCCTCTCTCTCTTCTCTCTTCTTCCTCTCTCTCCTCTTCCTCTCTCTCCTCCTCTCCTCTTCTTCTCTTCTCCTCTTCCTTCTTCTCTCTTCCTCCTCTTCCTCTCCTCTTCCTCCTCTTCCTCCTTCTTCCTCTCTTCTTCCTCTCCTCCTCTTCTTCTGCTCTTCCTCCTCCTCTTCTCCTCTTCCTCCTCCTCTTCTCCTCTTCCTCTTCTTCTCCTCTTCCTCCTCCTCTTCTCCTCTCTCCTCTTCTTCTCCTCTTCCTCCTCCTCTTCTCCTCTTCCTCCTCCTCTTCTCCTCTTCCTCTTCTTCTGCTCTTCCTCCTCCTCTTCCTCCTCTTCCTCCTCTCTCCTGTCGTCTGTAGGATTCTGGCGTTCATTTGGCCGTGGTGGACGACTCAAACGATCACATGTTGACCGTTTGGGACTGGAACCGGAAAACTAAAGTGGCTGAAATCAAGGTGTGCCCCTGACCCCGCCCCTCTCCTCCTGACCCCTCCCCCCAGAGCTTTGGGGTAATGATGTCGTGTTTGTTTCCACAGACGACCAATGAGGTGGTTCTGGGGGTGGAGTTTCACCCGACTGACTCCGCCTCCATCGTCACCTGCGGAAAATCTCACATTTTCTTCTGGACGTGGAGCGGCAACAGCCTCCAGAGGAAACAGGGCATATTTGGGGTAAAAACACTACTAATACTACTACAAGTACTGCATATACTACTACTACTTCTGTAAATACTACTACTGCAAATACCACTACAACAGCCTCCAGAGGAAACACGGGATATTTGGGGTAAAAATACTACAAATACTACTATTAAGGGCCAAGCGTAGTTTTGAGTCGACACATCGCAACTGTTGCCGTCATTTTTTCGTTTTTATTTAAGGATCTGCGTCAAGGTTTTTGCGCTGCCAAGTAATTCACCTCCACAACACCAGGAGGCGACGATTTAAAACTGAGGATTTAAAATGTTTGTGTTTCCCAACGGTCGGCAAGCTAAAAACTCAAAGAGCCGTTTGGAGCGACTCCTACAGAAAAAAAACCCAAAACGCTTTGACTGTAAAATGAGGAGAAAACTGCTTGTTTTTCGTGTGGCTCTGTGTGAAAGACTGAAGTGTGCTGCTTTTATGAAATCAAAGAAATTATACAGAATGATACAGTTTTAAGTTTTGTTTCTATAAAACTAAATAAAACTAAACAAATGTGCAAAGGTGCATTAAACACATTATTCCTCAGTGTATATTTGAGTCGTAGGAAATAAAAAAACTTAACTGATCCACCCGCAGTGAAGAGAGTGAAGCCTCCATGAGCTTCACTTGGAGCCTGAAATCACTTTGAGTTGTTTTTTTTTGTTTTTTTTTGTCAGAAATTTGAGAAGCCGAAGTTCGTCCAGTGTGTGTCCTTCCTCCGGAACGGGGACATCCTGACTGGAGACTCAGGGGGAGTCCTGCTCGTGTGGACCCGAACCGCAGACACGCCCACTTCTAAAGGACTCCGAGGTGAGGGGGCGGGGCCAGGGGAAGGAGGGTGGGGTCAAATGCAGAGTGGGCGGGGTCAGGTGCTCAGGTGTGTGGTCTGTTTGCAGCGTTCCAGATCGTGCGGCAGGTGAAGGCGCACGAGGGCAGCGTGTTCTGTCTGAGCGAGACCAGAAGCGGCGCCGTCCTGAGCGGAGGCTCCAAAGACCGACGGGTCGTGCTGTGGGACCACGAGCTGCGGCCGGACAAGGAGATTGAGGTGACTCCTCCCCCTGACTCCTCCTCCTCTCCCCCTGACTCCTCCCTCTTTCGTGTTGCGCTAACTGATGTTCTGTGGAGACAATCTGAGAGCTTCGTCCTTGGTCCTGGGTCTTGGTCCTGGTCTTGGTCCTGGTCTTGGTCCTGGTCTTAGTCTTGGTCTTAGTCCTGGTCTTGGTCCTGGTCTTGGTCCTGGTCTTAGTCCTGGTCTTGGTCCGGTCTGACGTGTGTTTGTTCAGGTCCCGGATCAGTTCGGGAGCATCCGCGCTGTGGCCGAGGGGAAACAGGACCAGGTTTTAGTCGGAACGTCCAAGAACTTCATCCTCAGAGGAACCTTCACCGAGGGCTTCACCGTGGAGGTCCAGGTACGAGACCGGATCTAAACCAGGTCTGAACCAGGACTGAACGGGACTAACCCGGGTGTGTGTGGGTTCAGGGGCACACGGACGAGCTGTGGGGGTTGGCGTCTCACCCGAGCAGAGACCTGTTCCTCACCTGCGCCCAGGACCGACTCGTCTGTCTGTGGGACTCAGCGGAACATCGACTCCAGTGGAGCCGCAGCCTCGAGGTCAGGAGGGCACCGGGGCACCGGGGAGGGCACCGGGGCACCGGGGCATCGGGGGCACCGGGCACCGGGAGGGCACCGGGACACCGGGGAGGGCACCGGGACACCGGGGAGGGCACCGGGACACCGGGGAGGGCACCGGGGCATCGGGGAGGGCACCAGGGGGCATCTGACACATGGGGAGGGCATCTGGAGTAATGTTGTGTGTTGCAGGAGCACGGACACTGTGCCGACTTTCATCCGAGT